CTCCTGTCGCCACTCATTTTCCCTTCATCTGGCGCTTCAAGGCCTCCATGGCCGTCGATGGCTTCCTTATTAATCCATCTTGCTCCTTCACGCGGTCCTCCAGAACTTGAGGATCAATCCTCCTCCTTTGTCTGTCAGGACTTCGTGAACGAGAGTGACGGGGGCTGTTAGTCCGCCTCCTCCCCCTTGTATCCCTCCTAGGATTTTGTCGCTGTGGCTCCAAGTCTGCTATGGGAGGGATAGAAGGTAGGCCTTCGCGCCTTGCACCTCCCTTTGGTGTTTGTCCGTCGATGGCGGACTTCGGCAAATCTTCGTTGTGCGCCATTGCTTCTAAAGAGGAAAAGCTTGATCAAGAGGTTTTGTTCTGTGTCTTTTTCCCACAGACGGCGCCAATTGTACGGGAAAGAAATAAACCTTCTCGTATAATCCTGTTGATCAAGACTGCGCTTCTCCAAACGTCGTCGCTTTACTCCCTGAAAACACAAACGTGAGCTAGTCGGCGGGTGTGTGCCGGAAACCCCTCCGATGCCTAAGTCAGAAAAATAGACAAAGACAAAAAGCTCTGTGTATCCAGGAATCAAGATTGTGTTACCTCTCCATAGGTGATGTTTGTGAGCTTTTATAGGTTCCGTATGGCACAATCCAAGTAGGACTCTTACTCCTCCATGTAGAGTCCTCCTAGGACTCATACTCCTGAAGGATAATGCTTATCCTTCAACACCCCCCTCACTGCTTAAACCAAGTGAGATGGTTTTACCATGGCCGGACTACCTTACAACTGATATAGCATTGCCATGCTAGACTAACTGGAGTGACCGATCTAACGGTTAGTTCAGCTATTCCTTGCTTTTCCCCTACCTCGGCCTCACATGCCAAGACCGAGCTATCCATAGAAGAGCCTAAGCCGAACTAACCCAAAACCAAGTCCTGAAGAGGGCTCAGTATACTTCTTCACTTCCACCTCGGCTTTGCATGCCATGACCGAACTAACCAATTTGGTCGTGGCGACCGAGATAACAACAAGGCCTTCTTGGACCGAGCTAATGAAAAAAGCCATTTTACTCCGCCTTTCTTATTACGGCCCAAAGCGGCCCATTACCCAATCTCAGCCCAATTTATTCATACAAATTACCCTCTCAAATATGAATATCACGACACGCTGGATATAAACAGCAGAGCAAAAACAAGGACTTCGTTTCCTCATCTTCTAAACTATCATAACTTAAACGAAGATGTGGACCAGCCCTTTTTTTCCATGTCTGTTGATCTGCAAACATATCTGCACGTCCCGAAAATTCTAGTTTTCGATTATCAACTCTTAATTGTTTGAGTACTTTAGTCCATACAAAATTGGATTTATTTTTTAGCACTCTTCCAATAGCTCTGAGTGCAAGTGGTAAACTTAAGCATTCAGTTACCACTTGCTCAGCTATTGATCGGATGTCAGGAGCGTCAACAGAATCGCCAGCCATGTCCTTAAAAAGATGCCATGTGTAGACGTCCCCGAACGTCCCGGGAGGGATGAGTCCCCCGTTCCGTTCGTATTGGGCTCACTACAGTTCGGACTCTCAAATTGTCAAATCTGAACCAAAGAGTCCAAATCCGGCAAATCGTTTTGAGAAAACAGATTTTGAAAGAAGTGCCAAACATGGACTGCTTTGCCAGATACAGAGTCCTGCCAACTAAAATGTTTTTATTTGGGGAAATTTAGGAAACCCGACTCGTTTGCCTAAGGCCACGTGTCCGTCATCACCAAAGTTTGCCCGGCATCTGGGAACTTGGGTACGATTGGGGAAGGTCACTTCATGAGCAACGCCCCGCTCGCCGATCAAAAATCGGCCTCTACTAACCATGATATCTATGTTTTGATAAACATTATGCGTTCTTATTCCGGTTATTAGCCTAGATTTACTATGTGATGCGCATACAGCATCACAAGTATAGACTGGTCGCCTGAATGGAAACAAAACATTTCAGTATTTGTTTATTTTTGAAAATGGTTTGGATGCCTGCTACCCGCAAGTTAGGCTAAGACGTGATTTGCCTAACCTCGGGTGGGCTTAAGAAAATAAACATGATTTTGCCCATATCGTGGCTTAAAAAAAATTACAGTCAACGAAACTGTTCCATCAAATAACCCAACCTTACCCACAGGCATTCAGCAGTTATAATCACATATAAGCAATTAGCCTCAGGTAAGGCATGCTATCATGGCAGTCACTCACACGCATCGCAAGGAGCCTAAAAGTCATAAAACTATACCGAGTACTCCCAGCCAAATCCACAGACAGTAAATTAGAAATTCCATAATAATGATCCCTAATTATACAGACTAATGACCTAATGCAACACTTGCAATAAAGTGCAACATATAAGACAGGACTCAACGGCTATTTCTAGACATGGCAAATTGAAAATGCTACAGCACATAATCATGTATTCAATCTTGCCGAAATTGAAAATACACATGCATAACGTTAGTAGATGCGCGTAGCCCCGGATGAATGCCAAGACAATGAAATGAAATGAGCAAACATGCTATCATACTTGCTCACTCTGCTAATTTGAAACATGCCTAATCATAAAAAACACATCATAAGAAGCGGGTAAATAAATAGAGAAAGACGTGGAGGTTGGTAAGAATACATACACATACACACGCACCTCCTCATACAAAACATTAGCCCAATCGCGCAGAGGGTTCCAAAATAAATACAAACTACCATAGACAAATGAATTAATACATTCCAATATAGTACAAAAACTCTAATTAATTAAACAGATAATTAAATTAGGAATAGCAATAAATTTCGAGTCATGACAATAACCAGTGGGACTGCCTCAAAATCTGCTGCGGATGATGAATGATGCATGCTCCGGTTGCCTTGTCGGAAATCCCTTGCATGCCCGTTTGCCTCTTTTGCCAATTGTCTTGGAATGCGTGTCAAGCTCCGGGAAGGCTGCCGATTTCTGATTTGCTGCAACAGAGAGCAACAAAGGGGCATGGCAAAGTATTTCAATATGTTATGCATGACTACTCTTCAGGAGTGTAGTTCTCGATCTCGTGCACCAAATCACGCATATCGATGCAGATGGCTGAGAAGTCGAATTGCACGACTCAATTAAAATGAATGCACATAAAACAAATACAAGACTAAATCCATCATGGATAATTGGAGTGCAGGACTGGGAATTGACACCGTCGTCACTCAAGTAACAAAACGTCCCTCTTTCCCGTGTCTCGGCTAACTCCTATCCCAAACACAATGCAATATGCCATGCATGCATGAATGCAATTCTAACATACAACCTAGCATGCACAATGCTATGAAATGGCATACACGATGCACGAGGTAACATGGCATACACAATGCGCTAACATACAACCTAGCATACACAATGCTATGAAAATGAAATGGCATACACAATGCACAATAGACTTATACCAACATGAGTGGACCTCAACCATACTCACATCAGTAGCCATTAGGTGAAAATGAGACTCTCGAAATGCGTGCACGCATGCACGCAAACCGAGGACCGAACCTAAGGCATAGTGTGCAACTCTAACAAGGCATGGCAAGGCATGAAATGTGGCACATAAGCATGTAATTCCAGCACTGAAATATGATACAAAGCAATCCCGAAACATGGAAGCATGGCACCCGATGCATGGAATGAACCCCGAAACTCGAAACTAGGCACACGGAATGACTTACAGCTATACAAAGCATGCATTATTTGATCATGAAGCATGAAGAAAAATGCAAGAAAGTCCCAAAACATGCATATTTCCAGTTTATAACAAGTCTCAAAAATGAACACAAATAGGACTAATCTATCATGCAAAAATGGCCCTAAAAGAGAGATTAAACACAAAGGGACATCAGATGGCCCCAAATGGAAAAGATCCCTTCAAAAAAGTTGAAGAGGGGCTCAAAAAAAGGTACTTTACTATTTACATCAAGCCACGAAAATAATCACAAATAAGGCCAAACTATCATGCAAGAAAAGGCCTAAAAGAGAGGTAAAGAGACAAGTGGTTGCTTCTATTCTCAAACAGAGGAGAGCCCTTCAACAATGTTGAAGAGAGGCTCAAAACAAGATATTTCACAGTTTATGGAAAGGTCCAAAACAGCTCACAAATAAGCCTAAAATACTATGCAAAAATAGGCCTAAAAGAGAGTTAAAGAGGCAAGTGATAGTTGCTGGCCTCAAACAGAGGAGAGCCCTTCAACAATGTTGAAGAGAGGCTCAAAAAAAGATATTTCACAGTTTATGAACAAGTCCAAAACAACTCACAAATAAGCCTAAAATACTATGTAAAAATTGGCCTAAAAAAGAGATAAAGAGGCAAGTGGTAGTAGGAGACCTCAAACAGTAGGAGGTCCTTGATCAAACATGAAAAGGGGCTCAAAATAAGACTATTTACAATTTTGGTCGGAGCCCAAAAATGCTTGAAAGCAAGGCTTAGATATAGAGCAAGAAAAGACTAGAAAAGGGAGAAAGAGGACTCACCCTTGAAGACCAATGAACCAGCAGCTTTTGGTTGAAGAAATGGTGCTCCTAACCTCTGGAAATAACCTCCAAGTTGCTGGAATGGAGTATGGAGGTGTGGTGCTATGAGGTGGTGTAGAAATGGTCCAAGAACAAAGGTATTTGATGGTTGAATGAGAGAGATGGAGGATGTATGTATGCAAGGCTCCAATTGGTTTTTGTCAACCCTTAGAAATGGTGGAGAGGTGCTGGTCATATAGAGGGAGAGAGGCAAGGAAAGGGGGGGAAAATGAAATTCAAATTTTCCCCCCAAAAGAGCCCCCCTCGGATACAGGATCTGGGGGGAAAAAGAGGGCATATCTGTAAGGAACCAGGTGAGGGGGTCATGGCCGGCAAGGTTTTGAGGGTTCAGGGGGCCGGTTGGCCACCCTCCATGGCCGGCTAACCAAGGGTCAAAAGGGTAAATGACAATTGCTGGTCGGCCACCTCATGTTGGTGGCCTTCTATGTCTGCACAACACAACTATGTGGTTGAAACCCAGAGAATGTGAACCAGGAGAGAGAAAAACCCATTTTTTAGAGGGGTTCAAAAAGGTCAGGCACAATTACTGGTCGGCCACCAAATATTGGTGGCCTCCCAGGTGTGTACAACACAAATATGGGGTTCAGGGTTCAAGAAAGTGGCCCCGAGGTGGTCAACATTAGCTTTCAAGTGAGGAAAACGGGCGTCGGAGAGCGATGAAGAAATAAAGCTGGCTTTTTAGAACAATTGCTGGCCTCCCACCCTCCTACAAGCTTCCTAACAATGAAAATAAGGCTTCCACCAAAAATGAACCAAAACGGATGCAAAACGGAGGTTCGGGGACCGAAGCGCGCGGCCCGGGGCCCCGAAAATGGGCTGTTAAGCACCGGAGGTGGCATTCGACCATGAAGTTAGTCTCTCGGGCCACAGTGTTCCTCAAAAGGGAGGAAATAAGGTGTGTGCCAAAAACCGGAGCAAACGAAGGTGGTTAGGCGGTCCTGAACCGAGGCACACGGCCGTCGGCTCCGAAAAACTGGAAACCGGGCTCCAAACGGGAAAAATGGCCTACGACCGTGAAACGTAGCCTACGGCCACTGAGAGATGGTCTACAAGACCTCCCCCTCCCTTCGGGAAGAGAAAACAGAGAAAATAGAGCCTGGTTCGCAAACCGAGACAAGGCACGAAAGAGTCCGGAAGTCTGGAGGCAAGGCTTGCAGCCGGGACTCTGAAACTTCTGGATGAGCACGATATGCAATATCACCGAGCGTTCAATCAGTGACGTTTGAGTCTTAAGGTCGGTCAAAAATGGGGTGTCTACACCATGCTTCTTCTTTTGTCAAGGGTTTTACTTGGATTTTCTTTTGGGCTCCCATTTGACTGCAAATAACATCCTTTTCTGATGTCAGCACAACTTCGCAACCCCTATTTTCACCCTGAATAGGAATCCCTATGGCCTCAAGATCAAGCTCTTCTGAAACCTCATCAAGTGCAAGAAGGATTCTCTTACCATTTGCTAGTCTCTGACGCAGACAAGCTGCTCTTTCAATTAAAGTCTCTCCCTCCAATTTCAAACCCAATTGGTCTGCTATTTGGCATTGAATGTTACTCAAGCTTGTACTCGAGGACCCTAACACTACCATAACAATCTCATCGAATAGATTTTCTTTTTTGGCTTTCACGGTGACTTGTTTCACCATTGTTGTTTTTCCAACACCACCGATACCACATATTCCAGTGATGTTGATCTTATCATTTTTTAGTGTCTCCATTACCTCTTTCAGAGTGGAAATTCGTGACTTCAACTCCATAAATCCGAATGGTGGATGGAAGGATTTTTTACTCTATCAAAATTTCCCCAAACACAAGAATTTTCCACAGCCATTTCACACTTTTTTTTCCCCTTTCCCTTCCTTTCCTTTTTTGTGTTTGGATTGAGTGATTTAGAGGGAAAAGAAAAGAAATGAAGAGATATGTATTTCTTTTATTTGTTTGGATAATTTAAGTTGAGAGAAATGGAGAGAAACTTATTTCTTTTATAACTCTCATTTTCAATCTTTCAAAAGTGAAGAGACTGGAAGAGAAAAGAAACTAATATTTTCATAATACCAATTTTGTCCTGTAGAAATAAAAGAAATAAAATGATTGAATACATAAAAAGATTATTTTGATAATATAACATAAAATAATTTCTTTTCTTTTCTTTTTCCTTATGAAATCTAGAGTGCTGTTATTAGCACCTACCAAAATTCTTTGGACCTCCCATTTCTTTGGACTCCAACCCTAAACCCTAAATTTTAATAATATTTTTTTGGACACCCCACTTATTACCAAATCTACCCATATTCATAATATTTTTACAATGAAAGGCACACCCACCTGAATCCATTCCAACATTAACCTTAGCCTAAATCCACAAGTAAATGCAAGCAATTCACACCCCCAACCACACCCACTCTCTGCCTCCCTCTCTTCTCTCTCTTTTCTCCTCATCAGTGATGTCTCTTCTCTCTCTTTTCTCTCTCTCTCTCTCTCAAAACCCCTTCAAAACCCTAGATTTTTCTCTTTCTTCTCTCTCCAACATTAACCACATCTAAAAAGTGGTTACTGAAAACACAATGCATTTACTTGTGGGGTTGGTGTTCTTCGTCGATTGGGATTTCGACGACGTGGGTCTCTTTGGAATTTGCCATTGATTGGGAAATTCAGATGAGAAAGTGAAGATTAATGCGAATTGTAAGAATAGAAAACAATGTATATATATGGAAAACTAATCTCCATAATATTTCTTTGGACCCATTTTATAATTTTTTTTATTAATTATACGAAGTAAATTAATAAAAGACATTATTAAATGGAATACCCCTATCAATAAGAATAATACTTTATAATATTGGACATCCTCACCCCACTCCAACTCATCCAACTAATAGTATCATGTTTGTAAACCCTAACCTATTACTTTTCATAACAACTAACATAAAACCTAAATCTATTATTTTTCATAATCATCTTAAATCGAATGTGTCATCTTCATACACATCAACGCTATTAAACTTGAAGTTTTCTTAAGTATAACATATATTCATACACTTATTTCACTGTGTAGAGCAATGAGGAGAAGACATTCTCAGTCGTTATCTGTCTTGTATAACATTTTCGATTGTTTCGATGGTTCTTGTTTGCGATGTTCGAGAGTTTACTGGTTTTGCTGACTGTTGGAATTATGTTCGGTAATACAGTAGCTGAACATAATTTTCGTTCATATACATAGGTTCGGACATTAATGCAGATAGTCATTTATGTATTTTCTTTGTTAAACTAACTTAGAATGGGAAAGAGTGAATTGGAATGGATTTAATATGTATTTTGAATGGATTTAATTCATGTTATTTTAAGTTGTGATTAGAATGATTCAAGTTACACAGTGATGACAAATTTTGTCGCTAAACAGTGCTAACAGGATCATTATTGTTCGACAAAACAGTTCTGAACAAAATACATTTTTTCGGCTACACAGTGGTGAAAAATTGAGTGGGTGTGCATTTCATTGTAAAATTGGAGTTAGTTTTCTATTCTAAAATATTATGA